TATGTTTATTTACCAATTCATACTCAAAAGATTGTATAGTACATCATAGAAATTACACTTAAGGATATACCTATGAGTCACTTTAAGGGCCATTTTATTAACTTGAAAACTACAGGTAAGTGTAAGGTTTCCCTTACCATAAAAGAATTCTTCCCATGGAGGATTCTGAATTTATTAAAGATGAAAATTTTCATTGCATTATGCATAAGAGTATGCTATCTTAATAGTGACTAAATGTAAACAGAAAGGGAGGGGAAGAAAAGTGAATAAGTGAAAATGGAGATAGAAAATGTACCCCTGACTAGGCCCTCCACCCAAACAGCTGGCTATAAGCAAACCCTCCACCCAATTTTCCTGTTTGTTGTTGATTTGGGGAAGATTTTGTCTAAATAAGAAGAGGGGTAAGATTGAGAGTATGAAAGAAAAAAAAAAGTAACATTCGGAGAAATCCTCTGAATCCCAAAGGGCTGATCTAAGAACTGTACACTCACAGAGGGATTATAGCCAATGATGTTGTGATAAGTATGTATGGTGTCAGATGGGTACTAGACTTATCAGGGTGCTCCCTTCATAAGTTACATAAATGTCTAATCACTATGTTGTAGGCCTGAAACTAATATAATATTGTATGCCAACTGCAATTGAAAAATAAAAAATATTAAAAATATAATAAAAACTAAAAACTGTATATTCAAAGACCCAAATGAGCCCTGGAGTGCTTGCTTAGGTGTGATCTGTCCCAAACCAAGCAGAAAGTCGTTCCAGCAGGGCTCCTTTTGATCCTTTTCCCTGGGCAGAGTACTCCCACCTCCCCCATCTAATCAAAGACTATTTCTACTCTGAAAACCACATCCTTAGGATTCCCAGGCTTACTGCTCATCCTTCTCCCTCATAGAGTCTGCTTGGTGTTCAGTGCACAAGCAGTCAGCACTGCTACCACGTGAGACGTGAGAGAGCGGCCTGTAAATGAATTTAGAAGTTACAGGTTTCTTCTTACATATTCAATAAATTTAGTCTCTTTCAGGCATTAGCTGTTTAGTTTGACCATCTTTAAGTTGGTTTTCTGATGTTTTAACCTAGACCGTGGAAGTTATTTCAATTTTACTTCCATCCCCATCTGCAAGTAAGCTATTTTGACAAATTCTTTGGGCCATTGTGGAGAAATAGGTCCTTTTCAGAGTTCCTTGTTATTTTAAGCCTCTATTAAAATTTTCTTCAGTGAAGCCACCTGAATTTAAGTCTGCCTCATCCCTTGGATTACCAGTGATTTCAATTCCAGCAGTATATTGGGAACACCTAGGAAGCTTTTAAGATAAGTGCCTAGCATCTGTCCTAAACCAATTATGTCAGAATCTCCAGGAACAGGATGACAATTTTAAGGCTCCCCGCTGGATCCTAATGTGCAGTCACTGGTGTTATTTCAGCTGAGAAACAGTGAACTCAAACACCAAGTCCTCTTAATTAGCATCTTCTTTAATGTGAGCACATTAGACCCAGTCAGCATCACTAGAATCCCATATTTCTGATCTTGTATATTTTTCAGCTTCCTTTTCTTTTCTTTCTTTTTTTTAAAAATTACTTTTTATTGTGAAATATACATTTTTTATAATTAGTTTCAGCTGTACAACACAGTGCAATAGTTATACTTTTTACCCCTCGAAGTGACTTCTCTTTTTTCTTTTTTGCAAATTCCACTCATGAGAAGCACAGAATTTATTCAGTCTGGGTAGATAATTCTGTTTTGATCAATTCACAAATGTAGTTTGTGTAAATCTTATTTTCACATAACCTCTGCAATTTCAATAAAAAAATCATTCTTTTTTTTTTAAGATTTTTATTGGGGAATTGGGGGGATGGGAACAGTGCTGGGGAATTGGGGGAAGGGGAACAGACAAGTTGCTGTTGTTTTGTTCTTCAGTCTAGTTGTGGAGGACGTTGCTCTATTGGCCCAAGTTGGCACCATCATTGCGCTCCTCCCGGGCCAGGCAGATCAGTCGCCAGCTTCTGGACGGCCGCTCACTGCAGCCGCTAGCCGCTCACACTGGCTGCCGGCCACACACGGTAGCCCATGGTAACCCACTGCTACAGGGGCTGCAGCCTACGCCATTGCCAGCTACTGATGGCAGCCCAGCTCCAGGCTGAGCTGCTGTTAAGCATCCTAGCTGTGGAGGGCAGTGTCACCAGCCCTCGTATGTGGGATCCGAACTGGGACCCTCTGGCGTCCCAAGCCAGTTCTTAACCATCGTGCCACTCGGCCGGCCCGAAAAAAATCATTCTTCATTATTTCTTCAAACTTACTAAAATAAGATATCGTTGAATGTACATCAATTGTTATTTGTTTCCTTTGCTTCTGTTTTCAGTAATACTAGACTGAGCAAGAAACCACTTCTAGCACAGCACACTTTTCCTTAAAATTCTGGATGCTATGTAAAAAATATATTAAAATAATTCATGACTAAACTGGTAAAACCAGAGGTTTCCTTGTAAGACAGAAATGTCAAATAATCATAAAATCTAAATAAGTGAAGCGTTAGAACCAAAGTTTTCCATAGTGATGTTTACTGATTCCTGGTGGTCTAGAATGTGGATTTTAATGGATGTATTCTGGGAGACAAGAGTCTGGGGTTCCTAGTAGGGTAAAGGAGAGGTAAAAGAGAGGTAAAATCTGAAATCTCCTGTATAATGCCAAAACCCAAGAAGGGTATCACCCTTAGTAAATAAAACAGAAAAATACCTGTTCTGTAGATTGAAGTGATAAGACTAGAAGCCTGTCCAAATCTGGCCCTTAGTGTCTAATATCATTCTACTATTTTGTATTAAAAAAAAAAGCCAATTCAGAGATTAAGTTTAAAGTTGTCCAGAATTGGTACGTCTTCCAGGTCACCGGCAGGAGATATGTGCACATTATTTTTCTGGAGGGTTTTAACTCAGGCCTTGAAGAATTACCACAGATAAAAATGCCAAGGAACACAAGCTAAGACACAATTAAAAGACAGATGGAAAATACTTCTGCTGTATTAGTATTATTACAGTAACTGTTAGCATAAAAAATTATTTAATATTTTTGAGAAGTAGCCTTCTATATTTTGTAAGAGTTTTTAAAATTAGAAATAGATGTTGAATGTTTGAAATAAATTATAAATTTAAAAATATTCTCTAGGCTTTTTACTAGGATAACATAAAACATATTTCATAATTTCATATTCATAATTCCTTCCTAATTATTTTCCCCATTTGATCACAGTTCACTTAATAAAAATAGAATAACTTTGTGAGAGATTTCTTTGGTTTATTGTTTTCCTATCAAAATGCTGGATTTCTATTGGGAGCAATATTAGAACATTTAAATATCTCTTTCTTTGAATAATACATACTATGTGCTGGGCACAGTTCTAAGCACTTTACACATACTGGCTTATTTAGTGCTCATAATAACCAAGTAGGTTGTTACTATTATATCCCCATCACATAGATTTTTTAAAAAGGGGAAAAAAAGGAAGCACAAAGGAGTTAAGCAAGTTGCCCAAGATCACACAGCTATTAAGTCTTCAAATCTAGACTCATTGGCTACAGAGTTGCCCTGACCCCGTGCTATACTGCATCTCAGAAAGTTTTTCTAAGATTACAATCTAAATTAGGATCCTTTTTATTTCTTTGGTAGCACTCTGTTCATTTCTGCCTGAGCATTAGTATAATTTAAAGGATTAATTAATTATTTGTTTAATGTCTATCCCCTTCTCTAGGCTCTTTCTCTTTGAAATTTGGAGCTATTTCATGCCACTTTCCTGTCTATACCCAGTGCCCAGCACACAGTAGATGATCAATAATTACCGTATTTCCTCAGGTATAAATCGCACCCTTTTTCGAAAAATTTGGGGTCTAAAAACTGGGTGCGTCTTATACAGTGGTTGTATGAGTGCAAAAACAAGCACGAAAAAAGCAGGAAATGCAAGTAAAAAAATCTACAACCACTGTATAAAAGATGCACCCAGTTTTTAGACCCCAAATTTTTCGAAAAAGGTTGCGTCTTAAAAATGGGGAAATACGGTAAGTGAATGAATGCCTAAAAGGCAACTAGGAAAAAATGTTTCCCTCATTGAGTAATGTCTCCATCTTGTGGAATTTTAGAATATTGTTTGAAAAAATTTTTTTTTAATAAACCAGGTTTTCACAGGAGAATTCACACTCAAGGGCTATTTCCCAGACTCCTATTAGTCTTATTATTTTTTTAAATTGGATTGGCCCTTTTGAGATTCTCAGTGCTATAGACTAGCACAGTCTCTTCAGAGCAGGGCTTTCTTCAACTAGATTTGCTTAGTGAAATGGGTTGTGCAACTAGGTAATTAACCCGGCAGCACTTTACGTCCAGAACGCATTTGATTCTACCTTGCCAAACGGTGGCGCACACGTCCATTAATAAGCTCTCAGCACAGAATGATGACTTAGGTACATCCAGAGTCCCTTCCTAGCAGCATTCATACAGCCATCTAAGGGGTCTGTCTATCCACCAGCAGTCCCTAACTCCCCATTATAGTACCCACAGTGTATGATGGCTAACGTGGAAATTGTGTAAAGAAATAGCCTCTGCCCTACTACCATCATACACTGGAGAGAGGAGTCTAGTATGCTCCATTATAAATCTTTACTTGTATAATGTATTGCACACATAATCTGTAATAATTTTTTTTAAAATACCAATATGTAAAGAAGACTTACTTCCCTTTGATCTACCTATTATGGGCAGCTCATTTAAGAAGTTAGCAAACCTTGCTATTCAAACCAGAAATGGACAAAAAGAAAAAGAAAATGTTTAGGCCAGTGTGATTATAAATGCAGATTATATACGCCGAGTTATTTCGCCCGCCTCTTTAAACCTAGGTCCAACTCTGGTTCTCTCACACCAATCAACGACGGAGGTGAAGGGTCGGAGGTCTGAGACGCCAGCGAGAGCCGCTCCTTCCTCACGATTCTATGGTTCTCAGGTTACTCTCATCACTGAGAACTCTATGGTTCCGGGGCGGGCTCGGAGGCCTGAGTTTGAAGGCAGTGGCGGGAAGATGACAGCTACACCTGTTACCAGGCCGGGTTTCTCCCGACGGAGAGGACGCTGGAACTGTGGCTGTCCCTGAACAGCCGAGAAGAGTTCGAGATGAATCGTCCGCGGTGGAGTGGGAAACGGCGGCGTTCAACATTAGGCTCAGACTCCTGGGGAAGCGGCGATGACAGCACTGACAGCCCCCTGCTTCCCTCCGGGCCGGTGCTGAGCCCGCCCCCCGGCCTGGGACGCAGCTTGATGGACAGAGGCGGCCGGCCGGCAGCAGCTGCAGGTACTCGTAGGCATTCTGTGGGCAACGGGCGAGGTGGGCAGCTCATCCCGACTGTGTGAAGAGAGGTGTTCTCACCGCGTGGAGCTTGCTTATTTGCACAATCTGCTCAGCTTCTAGTCTCCTTCTCAGTTTGTGATTCGGCTCTGGTGCGACAGGTCACTTTCGGTTTAGATACGGACGTGCTTTCAGTTTATATTCAGCGATCGCCTGGTAGTAACACTCAAGTGGTTTCTGGGTCTTTCGATCTTTACAGAAACAACTTTCTAGTTGGCCAAATCTCACAACCTGGAGAGGGCGCTCTCCTAATAGTGCCCAGTACTCCTTACAGATCCTTATACTGAATGTGCTTTATGTCAGGTGTGCTTTATAGAGCCTCATTCCAACACATAAGAATTCCAAAATACAGTGGAGGGTTGAAGTCATATGCTAAATTAAATTCAACTATTAATTACTTTTTCTTTTTCTTTTTTTTTTCTGAAAGGGGAATGTAAACAAACAGTTCCTGACGATCAAATAGATAAGCTGCTATTGGCAAACTGGGGACTTCCTACAGCGATTCTGGAGAAATATCACAGTTTTGGTGTAAAAATGATGTTTAAATGGCAGGCAGAATGTCTTTTGCTTGGACAAGTCCTGGAAGGAAAGAATTTAGTCTATTCAGGTATTCAAATTTATGAAAATTAATTTCTCTATTTTAAAGACATGAATGTAACAAATATTATATTGAGGTAGTTATGATTTTCTTAAAGATGGTTGAAACAGTGCTTTATAACTAGAGAAGGCCTTAAAATAGATATGAAAAATGGAGTCTCATTATATGCATATTTAAATTATGCAAAATTCATTATATGGCTGAGTGGAGGGAAGGAAAGAAAAGACAGCTTAAAGAGAGCTATTTTGCTTGCCACTTCTATCAACAAACCTATGTCCAGAGTGCGTGTACAATGAGAGATATAAATCTGCTCTTCCTCCAGCCTATCTCAGTTGCTTTTCAGTGTGTGAACATTATAAATTATATGTTTATAAATTGACCTCCTTGTACAGGTTTCAATACACAAAACCATATGTACTTTATATACTTAATAAAATTTCTATACTTTATAGAAATTTTATATGGGCTTTCAAGGACAACTCTGACATGTATACTTTAAACCTTTCTACTCTACTGACTTTAGAAACTAATTATTTGGTAATGTGCACTTCCTTTGTATCAGTTTTCTCTGAAATTGTGAGTCATCCAGATTTTTTGTTATGGCTGCAAAAAATAATTAGACAATTTATCAGTAGATATAAGTTCAGGCTGTGGAGTCAGACTGGTTGTGTCTGTAAACTGTCTATACCACTATTGGATGTGTAACTTTGCAAATTACTAGAGAGTGAGTGAGCGAGCATGAGAGAACACTTAGAACAGATTTGGGTACATAGAAAGTATACAGTAAGTGCTAACTAGTGGCAACTATGGCAGTGGTAGAATGGCCTGACCATTTCAATTGCTTAGAGCAAAACTTGGGTGTCATTCATAACTCTGGTCACCAGCTCACATCAATTAATCACCAAGTCCAGTGTCTACAATCTCAAATATGTTGATTCTGACTACTTCTCTCTGTTCTTAGGTCCATCACCCAGTTTACTATCATACGGAGGGTGCCAAAAAAATGTATACACATTTTAATAAAGGAAAAAACTGTATTAAAATTGTAGTACTTATATACATTTTTTTGACACTCCCGGTATTTCTTGTGTCATCTGTCTTCTAGATTATGCTTACTATCATCCTTCTTCTAGATTATGCAATAGCCTTATAACTAGTTTCTCTTTTCTCTCTGGTCTTGCTCTGCTCCTGCAGCCAAAGTGATCTTTGTAAAGTACAAATACGACCTTGTCACTCGTTTTCATAAAGCACGTTAGTATTCTGCAGTACTTTCAGGATAAATTCGAAACTCCTTATATGGTGGGATTATAAAATGCTTTTTCGTGTGGCACATTCATATCTCTTTTTTCACTCCCCTACTTGTTTTATATTTCAGGCTCACTAAATTACTTACAGGCACCTGAACATTCCAGGCTTTCCTCCAGGTGTTTGCAATGTTTCTTCTCCTTGGCATTCCTTGTCTCTTCCCCACTACCCTTCCTTCTCATAAGTTCTCTTTCCTTTCCCTAAACTTCCTTACAGCTCCTCTCCTTGAACCTCTGTAAAACTCCTATCACAATATATTAAAGTTGTTCATCTCCTTTCTCAAAGCAGGGCTTTTAACCTTTAAGTAGATAAAGGAAATGATCTTTAGGTACAAGCTAGTTACTCAATAATATTCATCATTTATTCTTTTATTTCTGTTTTATTTCCATAATTTATCCTTGATATAAAGATATGTTTAATAATTCCCTATTTTCAGTGTGAGACTTCAGAGAGTTAAAGTTAGGGGCATTTAAGTGTATAAAGTTTTCCATCATTAGTAGGGCCTTAATGATAGATTAGTCTTAGGCACTGTAGTTACTGGATATGGTTTAAAACATTTTTTAATGCAGTATATAAAATATTATTTCTTTGTGATAACCTTGTGGAATGACATGTTTTAGCTCCTACAAGTGCTGGGAAGACTCTTGTTGCTGAATTACTTATTTTGAAGCGGGTTTTGGAAATGCGGAAGAAAGCTTTGTTTATTCTGCCCTTTGTCTCTGTGGCTAAAGAGAAGAAATACTATCTCCAGGTAATGTTCTTGTACTAAGTTTGCAATTGTGATAAGGCTTGTTATTGGCAGCCAAAGCTTTATTCATTTGAAAAAGAATTATAAAAGCAAGTAAAAAATAAAGTTTCTTTTATTGCATCCCAATGTAGCTTTAATTGTTGACCATTTATGAAGGGAAACTTTGTTTTATTGCATTAAGGACAAAGAGCCATCAAATTAAAAGAGTAATGAGTGAAAATTGTGTTAAAATTGACGAACTTTTCCTTAGTAACTAAATAGAATACTTCAATTAGTACATAGACATGCAAGTTAAGAAAACGTTTTAACTGAAGAGTAGGAATAGACTGAAGCATGGAGAGGAAGGAGCATTGGGAAGCATATGCCATCCTAACTGAGGGCCATTTGGTAACATTTGGGGGATGAAGAACAGGATCCGTTGGTGCTCAGGTAAAGCTCCAGACCTGTGGTCTTTTCCTCTGTTCTGCAAAAATGAATAATAACATTTTCATTTGTATGATGCTCACTGGTTTTTAAGGCATTTTTACAAATACAGTGTTTAATTAAATAGAATAAATTTATTATTGTGATTTCTGCAATGAAAAAAATGTGCTGTGGAATGGCAAGAATATTATACTGGTAGTCCAAAAAATCTGGGTTCTAGTCCCAGTTTTCCTACTGTGTCTTTAGGCCAGGCATATAATCTGCTGGGCCTCAGTTTTTCCATTGGAAAAATAATAATGTTAACCCCAGTACTGTGGGTTAACTCAATAAAGACTCAGAAATACCTTACTGAATGAACAGCTGTAAAGTTCTATGGTTCAATAAATCTTTTTAACAGTTATTTCAGAGACCAAATAGCCAACAAAGCTGGTCCTACATGGTAACATCCTCTCAACTTAGACCAGAATAACAAAATGATGACAGGATCCTTTTTATTGAGAAGGTATGTTAGTTAAAAATTAAACTAAAAAAAAAAAATTAACATCAAAGTCCCACTGCATTTGACTTTTGAAAACTCTTCTTTCATTATATAAAAATTAGTGAGATAATGAAAATATTTTCCTCTTGAAGTATAAATTTGTTTCTTAAAGTGTTACAATAGCATTAAAGAAAGAGCTAGTTTCTTGTTTGTTAATTAGATTAAAAGTGTTTCGTGCTTAAGGTAGTTCTTCTCCGATTTTAATTTCTATAAATAGCTCTTTGAACTGCTTGATTGTAAAATGCTGTCATTAAAATGGCATGCTTAATATATGCACCCCTATGTTCATTGTGGCGCTATTCACAATAGCTAAGACTTGGAAACAACCGAAATGCCCATTGGTAGACGACTGGATTAAGAAACTATGGTGCATAAGTATAACTATTGCACTGTGTTGTACAGCTGAAACTAATTCTAAAAAATGTGTATTTCACAATAAAAAATAATAATTAAAAAAAAGAAACTATGGTACATTTACACAATGGAGTATTACTCAGCTATAAAGAAGAATGAAATCATACCATTTGCAATGATATGGATGGAACTAGAGAACATTATGCTAAGTGAAATAAGTCAGTCAGAGAAAGACAAATACCATATGATCTCACTTATATGTGGATTCTAAAAAACTGAATAAATGAGATGTAAACAGAAATAGTCTCAGAGACACAGAGGAAAAACTGAGGGTTGCTAGTTGGGAAGGAGTGGGGATGAAGGAGAAGGGGAAGGGACAAGACAATACAAATTGGTAACTACAATATGGCCTCAGGGATAGAAAACACAGTCTGGGAAATATAATCAATAATGTTGTAAATATTTTTTAGGGGGCCAGATGGATTCATGTCTTGTTAGGGAGACCACTTCATAGTCGGTGTAGAGGCCTGACCACCGCACTGTATTTCTGAAGCTGATGTTAAATAACATTGTATGTCAACTATAATTATATATACATATAGTAATGAGACATGGAGTAGAGTGTGGGAATGGAGTCAGTGGAATTGTAATAGATAAGTATGATATCGGGAGGTGGGAGGGCAGTAGACGGGGAAGGGGATTGCTTCTGTCTGAAGGGTGAAAAGGATAACTATTGCGTTGTTCTGTACACCTGAAACTAACAATAAAAAAAATAAAAAAATAAAAAAATAAAATGGCATGCTTAATTTTATTTGACTTTGTCTTAATAGAAATTTTCTGTACTGAGTTTTGTCAATTCTAAACTTTGTATTTTTAGTATGATTCTAGAAAGAACCAGTGTATCTTGGCCAGGAACAACTAACAGTAATCTGATAAATGTTTTAGATACTTTTGTCTATGTTATGGGATAGAACCAATTTACAATTCATGAATATAAAATATTTTCACCTGTATTGTTCTTTTTTACTCAATTCAGAGTCTGTTTCAGGAAGTAGGAATAAAAGTAGATGGTTACATGGGCAGTAGCTCTCCCAAAGGGCATTTCTCTTCCTTGGATATTGCTGTCTGCACAATTGAGAGAGCCAATGGTCTGATCAATCGCCTCATAGAAGAAAATAAGATGGATCTATTAGGTAAGAAAATTAGGAAGTAAGCAAATACTTTCTATTACCATTTTTTGATGGAATGGAGTGGAGCTGTTGTGATTTCTGTATGTCCTATGTTTTCATCTATTGTCTGTCATCTATCTGGACATTAGCATCTGTAATGTTAGGAACTTTGTGTGGAAAAAATTTTTTTATGTACTGCTGCTGTTATTAACTCAACTTCCTTGTATTTTTGCACTTTACAAAGCATAGAGGATATCCTTGAGCCATCAAGTTATTTCTCACTGCTTCTTTTCTTCCTAAACTTTACCAGGAATAGAAGGAAGCATACTGGGGCTGGATTTTCCATTTTTGCAATTAGTGTATATGTGTATTCATTATTATATTCTGGTGCTGTGATATCTGGATTAGGCCTGTACCCAAAGGCTACCATTTAACAGGGAAATGGTAGGGAACTACAGAAGCTGACATTGCATTTGAGCTTGGAACTCTAGGAAGATTTTCTACCTTAATACTTTTTCTTTTTTTTTTTTTTTTACCACTTAGGAGAGCCCCCTGTGTAGAAGTAGCAACAGGAAGAGAATGTTTGTAGCAGCAACCAAAGAATATCAGTTGGCTAGTTATTGAGATCCTGGTGAACTTAAATGATAAAGTTATGGTAGGGTAGGAGAAGGGAGTGAAGTCAAAGATTAATAACACATGAGCTCTACTCTTTAAAGCTTGGAGAGAGAAATAACATTCATGAATTTGTATCAGAATTGTTCTATTACTTGTGACACCATTTGACTTTAAATATCTTGAGGATTGCAATAGAATCTTATTAAGTATTATATCCAATGCCTAGCACAGTGCCTGGAACACTAGATAGAATAAATATTTTTGGATGAATGAATGAACAAATGCTGAAATAACTCATCATACCGTGTAATTTGGAGATAGCTAACAGATGGGGAAAAGGAACACCATTTGTCTTTAGGAAACAGTCTGAAAGATCTTGATTTTGGTGGGGAGGATATGTGGCAGGGACACCAGTGCACATGGAAACTATGGTGTTATGAAAACATTTAACTGAAGAAGACATTGAGTGATACTACATTTTCAGTAATTCTTCAGCATTACTCCAAGTGCATAGACTAGTTTGATTATCCAGGTAGTAAAAAAGAGGATTATGATCATATTTATGTTTTGTAGTAGGGTGATTCACTAACCTAGTATAATCAAATGAAAACATCCCTTAAAATCATCTCTTTGTTTTTTATCTGATTCTGTTTTTCTTGCTAACATGAGAATGGTTGCCCTGGTTGTTTTCTCCATAGGAAAGTCAACACAGGAAATAACTGTCAGAGATGTCTTTGATATCTCATTGTATATTGTATATATATTTCTACAAGGTTACCAATTAAAAAGTGAGTAATGAGAAACAGTTTTCTATGAGTTAGCCCTGAGTTGAGCTAATCATTGATTTTTAGATTCAGAATACATTGTAATAGGATCACTTATGATACCTTAAATACCTTGGAAAAGAATTATGTATTACGTGGACTCTGATTTTTGTTTTATAGTTAGAAATTTGCATCACCTGCAATCTATTGTAATTACAGCTACTTATTGTATAAGATATAAGATTCTTGGAATTGTGAAATTCTGTAAAACCTAGTATCTGGAAAATCTCTTAGGAACAGTGGTTGTGGATGAATTGCATATGTTGGGAGACTCCCATCGAGGGTATCTGCTGGAACTTTTGCTGACTAAGATTTGCTATATTACTCAGAAATCAGCATCTTGGTGAGTACCTGAAATAACTGCAATCCTGAGATTCTAAACACTGCTGAGAAAGTGCCTGCAAAAGTGCATAATGAGTTACATAAATTAAAGAAGGAAAGTAGTAATTAGGACAAACTCGTGTACAGCAGTTCATTTTTGTTTTGAAACAAGTACCTAAGGCTGAGAGTGATTTTAAATTATTTTGTAAACATTCTGAAGCTTCTGACTGTTGACCATTTTTATGATAGAATTTTAAAAATCCAGTTTTTGTATTTGTTAGTTATACACAGATCTTATGTAAATAGGCAAAGCTAATTTTGAAAATGGTATTTTTTTATCACCCCACACACCCCAGAAACAACTACTTGCAACTCTCATAGTTTTATAAAAATTTATTTACAGTGGCATCTCTAAATGCAGCTACTTGAGTTTTTAGTTTTACACATGACATGTTGACTTCTTACTATGGAAAATGAAGAGCTGGCTCTTTTTATTTGTTTGTTTATTTATTTATTTAGCTGAGCCATCCTGCCACCTGTTGAGATCTGGCTCTTTTTAATGTCCTTTACTCACCTCACCCAATCTCTTCCCTCATCCCCGATCACTCTATATTTTTTTCATCTTCCCATTTTCCAAATATAGTTATGTCATAATTTTGCTTAGCTCAGTATTCGGTTACATTGTTATGACTATATAAATGCCATTGTTAACCGAGCCATGTAGTATATTATGATTACTTTTACTTTCTAAATAATTTTTTTTTCCTTCTGAAGTTAATAAATGTCTTTTTTGATTGATGGCTTGGTTTTCTATGTACTTATCACCTATTTATCCCCAGCCTCTTCTCCATTTGTGTAAATCTTCACCTAATATGTTCCAATATATTTGTTCTTCTACCAAATTCATCTTCTTGAAGTTTCTCCTAAAGTCTTATAAGTTGTTCAAATCTGGGTAGGTGGTTATCTGTATATATGTTGCATAGCAGTTACCTTGGGATCTCTTTTTATCATTATCATTTATTCCCATTGCTTTTTGCTTGAGTCAGAGTCCCCTTTTTTTGAGATCACATGTCTTTCTCTTGATTTACTTCCTTATTTTGGTGGGGATATCTTACAGGATGTTCCACTTTATTTCAGTATACAGGCTACTATGGGTATAGTTTTTTGTGGGTTTTTTTTTAATTTGCATGTCTGGAAATGCCTTACAATTAATTCATAGGTTGCCCCGGTATAAAAGGGAAGATTTAAAAATTTTTGCCTTTAGAGTTTTCAAGACATTACTCCATTTTCTCTGTTACTATTGAGGAATCCAATGCCATGCTGATCTTTTACCCTTTGTATAATTTTTAAAATTCTCTCTGAGAGTTTTTAGGAGCTCCTTTTCTTCCTCAGTGTTGTCAAGTGCCACACTGCTGTGTCTTGGCATTGGTCTATTTTCATTCATTGTGTTGGAAACTCAGTAGATTCTTTCAATCTGGGAGTTCCTTCAGTTTAGGAAGATTTTAACACATTTCTTTCAGTATGTGAGAAAAGATGTAGATAATCATCTATATTCTAAATCAGTAGGGATATGGAAGATAAAACTAATACAATTAGCAAATTTGACCTACTGGATGTATAATATGTAGAACAATTAATTACCAAATAAAAGCAGAATACGTGTTCTTTTCAGTTACACATGGAACATTTACAAAAAAAAATTACCATGTCCTGAGCCATAAAACAACATATTTTAAAGAATTTAGTCATTTAAAATATATTTTCTGATAACAGTGGAATTAAGCTAGCAATAAATGTAAGAAAATCATAACTAGAAAATGCCCCATGTTTGGAAATTAAGAAATACATTTTTACCCATTTTGGGTAAAAAAAAAAATCACAGTAGAAATTGGAAGATAGTTTGAACTAAAAGTATAATAAAAATATCTCCTAACAAAACTTGTGAAATGCATCTAAAATTGTTTTTAAACAATTTTAATAGTATAAAATGTATATATTATTAAAGATAAAAGACTGAAAAATTAGTGAATTAGTCATCTAAAGAACTTGGAAAAAATCATAAAATATAATGCCACAGAAAGTAGAAGGAAAGACATAAAGATGAGTAAAAACTAATGAAAGAGGAAAGTCATTATCCTGAACATTCTACACATCAATAAGAAAAAACACAAGCCAATATATCACTGGACAAGGAACTTGAACAGGCATTTAAAAAAGCATATGCAAATGGTTCATAAATATGAAATGGTGCTTAATCTTATTAGTAATCAAGGGAATGTAAATTGCCTTTTCAGAGAAATATTACCCAGACTCTCCAAAATGGCTGACATTAGGAAGATTGACAATACTAAATGGTGACAAGGACATATTGGGTTGTTGGAAAAGTCATGATGCATGTTTGCAACAGATGGCACTAGCTCATTTTTGGAAGTACTAGAGTCATTTGCATCTATGTTATTGCTATGTCATTTGACAGCTGACAGTTCTAGCTTCATTCTAAAAAAAAATTGAGTGATTTGGTTGAGTTTTGGAGATTTTACAACAAGTTGAAGATGGAAGACCAAACTGTGCATTTTTGCCATATTTTACTGTTTTACTTCCATAAAGGGAAGAACGTGCATCAAGCTTGTGAAAAGTTGCATAAAGTTTACGGTGACAATGCTCTACAAGAACGTCAGTGCCAGCCATGGTTCATGAAGTTCTGTGCTGGTGGTTTTTATCTCAATGGCTCTCCTTAGTCAGGGAGGTCCACCGAGGTTGATGACAACAAAATAGAGGCATTGATCAAGTCAAACCCACGTTACACAACACGAGAGATTGCAGAAACATTGAACATCCATCATTCAAGCATTCACAACCACCTGAAGAAGCTGGGATACATAAGCAAGCTCGATATTTGGATTCCACATGAACTCAAAGTTCATTTGACAGCGCATATAAACATCTGCAATATGCTCATTAAACATGAGGAAAACAATCCTTTTTTGAAGCAACTGATAACTGGTGATGAGAAGTGAATTGTTTACAACAATGTGATGTGCAAACGGTCTTGGTCCTGATGTGATGCCTCAAACGAAATCGAAAGCAGACACTCATCAGAGGAAGGTTATGCTCTCAGTGTGGTGGGATTTTAAAGGTGTCGTGTTTTTCGAGCTCCTACCAAGGAACCAAACAATCAATTCGAATGTGTACTGTCAGCAATTGGACAGTTTGAATGAATCCATCATCCAGAAATGTCCAGAGCTTGTTAAGTGTAAAGGAGTTGTGTTCCATTGCAACAACGCAAGACCACACACAAATTTGATCTCCTGTCAAAAATTATTGGAGCTTGGATGGGATGTGTTGCCACACCCACCATACTCGCCTGACCTTGTGCCGTCAGACTTCCACTTGTTTTGCTGTCTTCAAGACTCCTTGCGTAGTATAATGTTCAATTCAGATGAGGCTGTAAATCAGCACCTTCTTCAGTTTTTCTCAAATAAAGACAGGTCCTTCTATGAACGAGGAATTATGAAGCTCACTGAAAGATGGCAAAAGGCTATCAAAGAAAACGGGCAATATATTGTTGATTGATCTTTGTTCTTTATATAAATAAATGACATTTGAAAAAGACAAAATACGTCATGACTTTTCCGACAACCCAATAGAACAATAAAGCACATATGGATTGTGGGGTATTACTGTGATACAGTCTCTCTGGAAAACAGTTTGACACTATCTGATCAAATTGAAGATCATCTGTGACCCAGTAATTTTACTCCTAGGTTTATACCTTAAAGAAATGTATGCATGTATGTACCAAAGGACATGACCAAGAATATTGTTAGCAGCACATTTGTAGTTAATACTATGCATCTTTTAACATCATTTTCTTTTGTTTTTCACAGCCAGGCAGATTTAGCCAGTTCTCTGTCTTATGCTGTACAAATCATTGGTATGAGTTCTACTCTTCCTAATTTGAAGCTTGTGGCTTCCTGGTTGAATGCTGAACTCTACCACACCGATTTTCGTCCTGTGCCACTGTTGGAGTCAGTAAAAATTGGAAATTCCATATATGACTCTTCAATGAAGCTTGTGAGGGAATTTCAACCCATGCTACAAGTGAAGGTTAAGTCAATATTTTTACCTCAGTATCACCAGTACTTTGTGTTTGATTGCATTTTCTAGCAAGAAAATTAACAGATTTTGAGTTATGTAAATTAGGGGTTGCAAAGTAGTTGAATATGCATTACATATCTATTAGAAGGATTGTTAATATTAAGCTAATTTGTTTTAAAGAATTGGTGGTGATGGTAAGAGAGGAAATGTAGTTGTGCCTTCAATTTAAATGACTATCATTTCCTATGAGTAATACAAAATAATACTTAATTTTGTAGATTTTTCTTTTTAACTGGGAAAAGATTTTCTTATGGCTTAGTTTACACTGAACATTAATGTGGAAAATTAAACTTTTGTTAGATGGTAGGTATAACATATAGTAGAGTGGAAAAACATTTTGGGAGTCAGACCTACCTCTAGAGATACTTGATATGGCTGTGATATTGGTTGAATCACAAAACCTCTCTGAACGTAGTGTCTTCATCTATAAAATGGGATATAATACTTAACTTTGCTATTGTTGTAAAAGTGAAACATGATGTTTAAAAATTGTCTAGCATGTAGAAAGTGCTTGATAAGTGATAAATTCCCTCCCACACCCCAAAATACACTTAAAAAGTTTTAGTTCACAGTATTTTCTAAGCCTGATTCTTCGATTCTGAGGTTAAACAACTGACTCATCATCTGTGCAAGGAAGCATCTTCTATTTTTGTGCAGAGCTGTGTCTCTGAGTACTTGGACAGCTAAGGATAAGTTTAGAGCTGGGAGCAGGACTGAATTCATGTATTCCAGTACCCTCATAGGTATGCATTTGTAGCCTCTGTATGCCTGATATGGAATCTTATTCAGTTGCTTTGCTCTGTACCCCAAATTTCAGTTGACTAGGCATTGATTACCTCAATAAATATATATGTAAACACATTAATTTACTCTCCTGTTAATCTTTTTCTTCTATTACCATGTTCATGCCTCTACCCTATTTGACTCACTTTCAACTCTTACCTGGATTGTTGAAATAGCCTCCTAAATGATCTCTCTGCTTTCCTGGTCCCCTTCAGTCTATACTTAAGTCAGGAGCTTGTGATCGTTTAAATTGAACATCAGATCCTGTAACCATTCTGGTCAAAATTGTACGATGTTTCCCTGTTTTATTTAGAATGAGAGCCATCGTCTTTATAGTAGCCTACGAGACCCTGTAGTAGGCCCATGTGATCTGCTCCCACCATCTTAGTGCTCTGACTTCACCTACTGTATTCCTTCTGATTCCCTCCACAATCTCTTTGCTATTCCATAATATGCCAAGAATCTCCCTCCTCAGGTACTCTTAGTCTGGAATGCTTTCGATGCCCAAGCATCAGTATGGTTTACTCTTCACCTTTGGACCTTTACTCAAATGTCACTTTCTTAGACCTTCCCTGGCCACCTTATCTAAATTACAGCATCCTTCCCTTCCTGGTCCCTGTTTTCCCTGTTTTATTCTCTCCTTAGATTTTTATTGGGGAATTGGGGAAAGGGGAACAGACAAATTGCTATCCTTTATTTTTGTTGTTCAGTCTAGTTGTGGAGGACGCTGCTTCACTGGCCCAAGTTGGCACCATCACTGCGCTCTTCCCAGGCGAGGCAGATCAGTCACCAGCTTCTGGACGGCCGCTCACAGGGGCTGCTGGCCACTCACGCTGCCTGCTGGCTGCTGGCCGCTCACACTGGCTGCTGGCTATACACGGTAGCCCATGGCAACCCATCTGCCTGGCAACCCATCTGCCATCACCGGCAACTCATGGCAGCCCAGCTCCAGGTTGAGCTGTTGTTCAGCATCTTAGCTGTAGAGGGCAGTGTCACTGGCCCTCATATGTGGGATCCGAAC